CTTGGCATTGGACTTCGTGACCGCTGCAGTTTTCTTTCTGTCAGACTTGGATTTTTCTATGCTTGTTATGCGTTTCTTTAGGCCTTCTATGTTGAATTTGGACTCGAGTTTGTAGTATTCGACTGTTTTAATGATTGATCGGATGGAGTTTAGCTCCATGTTGGTTGCTTCTTCCTGGTGCAGGGAATTTAGCCTTATGGTAAGGAAATTGTACGCAAAATTTTTCAAGAAACAAGGGCGATGAACAGTTGAGCAAGAGTTTGTGGAAAGAATGTGACTTAAAATTGGCACTTGACAAAAGAATAACATACCTAATACTCTGCATACATAGTGTTCTATGTCTAAAACATGTTATGCTTTCATTTTGAGGTTTTGAGACTGGTGTACACCAGTTAATTTCATATAGTAGACAAGATTAGATTCAGTTCAAATACAGGTAGCCACAGATGAAAACAGTCACAGCTACTGAATAAGACAAGATTAGATTCAGTTCAAATACAGGTAGCCACAGTTGAAAACAGTCAAGAGCTACGGAATAAAAAAAAACACAGAACATAGAAGATATGCATATGCGAGAAACTTCTGAAAGTCTAGCTACCAGAAGTAACAGGAGTAAATAACAACATGCTTTAGAAAGTATTCAAGATATGTTATCTAATAGATAGAAAACAACATAACATAGCAATGCGCTGAAGGAACATTTTCAACATCCTATAAATTTACACGGCCTAAATGAAGGATATGATACACTAGTGAACTAATTGTTTCAGTGACATCCTAGAGGTTGCAATATGAAACTTTACAAGCTATGCAAGGGAAGTATACAAGAATAGTTTGTTGTTGCACTCAAGAATTGTCATAAAAGTTAGTGTGAACTAGTCATCTAATGCAGCATCAACAAAAGGATCAAATGATTACATAAGTGGATTAAATTAACTACAATATAAAGATGCAGAACACATAACCAGCAGTGAAATCTGCAAAAATCAGTAGGCCATAAAATTAAAGCTGAGTATACTGACATACCAAGGCAGCAGCTGAGTTCTTTCCATTTTTTGCTATATCACTCGCTTTCTTCCTTGAATTGTGGAGATAGTTCTTGAGGAGAGGAGTCGGAGAAAACTTTTCAATTAAACCAGATTCACTAGTAAAACTTACTGCCTCAAGCTCCTTCCCAGTTTTTATCAACTCATCAATAATATCTGCAAAACATTGACAAGGACTTCACATGAACATATATAGAAACAGCATGAGAGCACACAAAGATCAAAGCAAAACTAATCTCTAGTAGAAGCATATATAACTAGCAAAGTCAACCATGCTCGTTTATCCTTTGTAACCAATTTAGCCTATTAAGGCAATTCTAAGTTTTCACATGCATATCTTCACGGACAACTGTTTTTGTAATTGGAAAGCAAAAGAGATCAGCGAGCCAACACATGGATAGAATCATGCAGAAAGCATATGATAGTGTAACTGTAAAGATCCAGTTTTCTCAAATAATGAAGGGGGGGAAATGGGAAATAAAGAGCTTCCTACCTGATGCAATAAGTTAAGAGTTTCAATTTGTCATGTTAATGTCATTAATCAGGAATAAAGGTTAATTGGAGATATAGGATACAAAAGGCCATGAGAACCCTATATAAGTAACCAAATCCTTCATAGTTCCATACACACCATGACTGAAAAGGAAAAATTATCCAGGAAGCCATTGAAGAGAGGAGGAAGAAGCTATTGTGAAGGTAATCATTTAGTTTCTTTTAGTCCTAGATTGATTGATATAGTTTCAAGAAAAGCAAAAGAAATTACATTTTCAGCCCCCGGCTTCGGCTTCGGCTTCGGCGACTTCCAGTGACCTTCGAACATTCCCTGGTCAAGGGATCCGCCGGAGACAGACACCGCAGCCCACAATCTCATTGGATCTTATTGGGTTCGAGTAAGCAGAAGGAAGAGGATGATGAAATAGAAATTTTCCCATACAACCTTACTTCATAAAAGTTGACCTTTTGGTCCAATTTTGTTCTATAATGAAATATAGAAGCAAATTTTCAGAAAACCCCTTACAACCAGAAACATTAGTTTCATACCCAGAATAGTTCATATGGAATCTTTAGAATTAAATATTTATGCATATTGCATGTTTATATGTTTGATTAAGGAGTAAGTTTTTGGAGTATGACTCTCCAAAAGTGTTGAAGATTTCTAAAGATAAGTAGATTTCTTCTCATTTGTTAATTTAAATTATTATATTTATCTTAATTAATAATTCTACGTTTGAATATAAAAATTGTTGGGTCGGACATGTAATTTATGTTCACTTGTAGTAATTGTTAAAAGATTTTGAATTGTAATAGTTATTTATCTTTTACAAGATAAATATTATTTATTGTATAAAATTATTGAAAATATGTCATCAAATTTAATTTCAGTTTACTATTCCAATGCACATATTGAAGAGCTTATATTTGACGAAAAATATTTATTTGTTTTAGATTCATAAAATAGACATGAGAAAATTTTACCAATGTGTTGAAACATTTATATTGCTTTTCGTACTAGTGGAAATTCCAAGAGATATTTTGAGTGAAAAGAAAGTGTTATGTACCGAATGTATCAACTAGTGTTGAAGTGGCCTCCTTGGCAAAAAGTGTAGTGGACTTGGGGCAACCTATAGTAGTGTTGGGTACATTCTATTCCTAAGTTGACATATAGTGATCGATGCACATTCTTATGCTACTGGCTTATAATTCTCGAGCCTTAGTGAGACAACTAAGGAAGTTTTGCAAATTATGATTTAGATAGACTTTTATGGTTAAAAGTATTTAATGCACATTTTGTATTGTTTTCCTAGAGTTATTTGATATTTTATAATATCACCTGCTATATGTGAAAGAGTTCTTCTATTCGAATTTTTATGTGTTTCCTAACTCATTCTTTAAACTGATTGTAGCCTGCTTAAGAATATTAGTACTATTTTTTCTTAAACTTGTCTTATTTGCCAATGATATGTTATCTTCTCACTGAGTGTAAGCTCACCTTATTGTTTTCAATCTTTTTTAGATGAAAATTAGATAGTTCTATCTATAGCTCGGAGATTTGCGGACATGTGAAGGATTTGTTAGATTGTGCTCTGATGCTAATGTTTGTGGTAAAAATTGCAAAGAAGAGAATAAAGAAAATATGATTTTTGATTCCTTTGATCTCGGTTACAACTTGATTACAAAAGAGAGGAAAACGAAATTGATTTTCCCCTTTGTTTAAAACTGGGTTCTTCACGGTGGCGATGGAGTGCCTTCCTCGAATGCTCGCGTCGAGTTTGCTCTCCGTTGACGATCCGCACGTCTTGATTCACTGGAACAATGTCTTCTCCTCACGATTTGACGTTGTGGAGAACTTGCGTGGCAAGTTTGAGAACTCAGAACGAGTTTAGAAGAACTCTGTAAAAGTGTTGATTTGAACCGAAGATCGGTTAATAGCCAAGGCTAGAAGAAAGCTCTGGTGGTCGATCCAAGCCAAGAAAATCCCACCGAACCCTCCAAAAATCCGAAGAAGCCTGAACTGAATTGATCTTCAGTTATTTATAGAGGATTAAGGGGATGAAACCGCCCCTTAAATCTCTCCTAAGTGGGGTGTAACCGCTCCCAAATCGTGGGAAACGGTTTTAGAACCGTTCAACTCGTGTTGAATGAGTCAAACGCCCACGTTGGCGTTCAGGACCCTAACCTCACGTCTTAGGATTGAGACGCGAGGTTGGGTGTTGGCTGAACATTGATGAACGCGAGGGTCGCTCGCGTTTTGGTTTGTTGTAGCTTAGAAACGCGGGGGTCGGTGTTGGCTGGACCCCTACGAACGCGAGGGTCGCTCACGTTTCGCCTGTTGTAACGCGGGTCCGACTCCAGCGTTTTGATGTTGAAACGCGGGGTTCGACCCTGGCGTTTTAATGTTGTGACGCGGGGTTCGACCTCTTTCTATTGTGATTTTTAGATAGCCTACAGAACCCCCTCCAAAGTTTTCGAAAGTTCGCGGTTGACTGGGACGAATTTTCGGAATACTTTGGATCTTAACTCTGATCTTAGAGCTGTTGATTCCTTGTCGTAAAGGAGTCGTTCTCTGCACTCGCTTCGAAGGCATCTTGGTTGAAGGGATTTGCCACGTATGACCTTTGTGAAGGTATGCGTCATAATCCTTCTTCTGGAATACTGTGGTGGACCCATGCGTTTTGAATTTGAGACGCGGGGCTGACCTCGGCGTTCTGAATTTGAAACCCGGGTGTGACCTCGGCGTCATGATTTTTGTAACGCGGGTCTGACCTCGGCGTTTTGACTTGAGACATGGAAGTGGCTTCCGTGCATTTTTGACGAAGTCTTTGAAACTTGTCTTTAGCTTATCTGTTTCAAGTCTTGGCTCACGTCCATTAAGTTGATGGGCCCTCAAACATAGGATTTTTGGCAAACCCTCAGCCATCAACGGATTTGATAAGCCTTTACCGACTACCGTTTGAGTCGGGCTAGCATATGGATTGTCTAAGTCCGTTCCACATGTAACGTTGTGCTAAGAGAATGAACTCTCTTAGTCTTGATGCTATGATTTTGAATACATAGACTGTCATTTTGACGGGAAAAGACTAACCGGCAACGCGTGTTAGGCGTAGGCTTTTCTCTAATTAGGGATCGAGATAAAGTCCCCCATGCGTGTGAGGCATGGATTTTGATGTCCTTTTCACGGTAAAAGACTAACCGGCAACGTGTGTTAGACATTGACTTATCCCTACTTAGGATTCAGGATAAAATTCCACATGCGTGTAAGGCATGGATTTTGACGTTATTAATAACGACCTGCTACGATATTGAATACGTAGGCTTTGCTATTATTACGGGAATAGGCTACCCAGCAGCATGTGTTAGATGCAGACTTATCCTTACTTAGGATTCAGGATAAAATTCCCCAGGCATGAATCCTGGTGTCTTTTTCACGGCGAAAGATTAACCGGCAACGCGTGTTAGGCGTAGACTTATCTCTAATTAGGGGTCGAGATAGATTTCCCCAGGCATGAATCCTGGTGTCTTTTTCACGGCGGAAGATTAACCGGCAACGCGTGTTAGGCGTAGACTTATCTCTAATTAGGGATCGAAATAAAGTCCCCCATGCGTGAAGGCATGGATTTTTGGTGTCGTTTCTTCCTGTGTGGCTTGAAACACCGAAAGAAAGTTAGAAGTGCCAGAAGTATAGTATTAACTTTGGCATGAATTTTCACTTAAAGTGAATTTCAAAATTTTTCTTTATTATCACTAGGATAATTCTAAAAAATCTTTAATCCGCTGGGGATTTCATAATGACAACTTGCTATTCTTATTGAAAAAGGATTAACAAGTTCATTGAGGAGGGTTTGACTGTTAGAGGTGTGATGTTAACCTAACAGTATTTTATGGGCTTATCGCTCTATTGAAGAGAGTCGATAAGTTGATTTGGTCGTCAGAGGTGTGATGTTAACTTGACTGGTTCGTGGACCTATCGCTCTATTGAAGAGAGTCGATAAGTTGATTGTCGCGATTGGAGCAACTTTGGGGACTTATCATCCTATTGACGAGGATTAATAAGTGGATTGTCAGAGGTATAATGTTAACGTGACAGGATGATGTTGCGATTGGAGCAACTTTGGGGACTTATCATCCTATTGACGAGGATTGATAAGTGGATTGTCAGAGGTATAATGTTAACATGACAGGGATGTGTTGCGATCGGAGCAACTTTGTGGACTTATCATCCTATAGACGAGGATTAATAAGTGAATTTGTCAGAGGTTTAGTGTTAACGTGACAGGGATGTGTTGCGATCGGAGCAACTTTATGGACTTATCATCCTATGGACGAGGATTGATAAGTGAATTTGTCAGAGGTTTAGTGTTAACGTGACAGGGATGTGTTGCGATCGGAGCAACTTTGTGAACTTATCATCCTATGGATGAGGTTTGATAAGTGAATTTGTCAGAGGTTTAGTGTTAACGTGACAGGATGTGTGTTGCGTGACTTGCACAAGATTTTGGGAATTAGCGTCTCGCTGGGGAAACTTGCTAGGTGAGTTTATCACCAGAAGCGATAAATTTTGATACTTGTGATTTGAACAAGATTGATTGGAGCAACTTTGTGGACTTATCATCCTATTGACGAGGATTGATAAGTTGATTGTTGTCAGAGGTATATTG